TACAATCCACTTTATTGTGAGACTAGATTTATTTTGGTGGTCTGAAGCCAAACCTGCACTATCTCAGAGGTATGTCTGCAGAAAGATAATGAATGAAGACTCTTTCTGAACCCTGGGGTTTATTCACTTATAGAAAGAGCAAACAAGAATTCTCTGCACTTAGATACAAAACCTAACACAAAGGAGTAACAAATCTTGTGTTTCTTCCTGTGAAGTGTGGGCAATCAACAAGACCTTGTGAAGAGACCCAGTGGTCTACAGTAGAAGAGGCTCAGAACTGATGAATTCACACATAAGTAACAATCTTATGAGAAGATAGTAAGTTGACAGGACCACACCTACAGTGTAGATTTACATGAACAGTATTTATCTATAATACACATATATATACGTTTAATTTCATTTATTTATAAACTGTATTTGTTCATTCTATATATCTTTGCAACTAAATATTTTTATCTTTATTGTTAAACTAAGTAAACATGAAAGCCATTAGCTTGAGGTGACTCTAATGCTGTGGCGGCCTACATAAGCAAACTCAAAACCACACCTTTGAATGCCTCAATGTTACAAAATCAAAATGCTTAGAACAAAATTGCGAACAGAGCACTGTATTTCAAATTTTAGCCAATCAAATAATTTCCTTTCTTTGCTTCTGAACTTTCTCTATAGTAAACGTCATTCCCCTGGCTCCTATTAGCAAGCACTTCCAGTTTGGCACTGGCCCAATCCAACCAATTTTTGCTTTAAAAAACTTGAACATTTTTAACCCTTGTTAAAATGCTTCAGTTTACCTTTGAAAAGTTCAGTGTCTCACAAAATTAAATGGAACCTTTTGGTTATTTTCAGAGCTATGTACATAAAGCAGGTGAACCTACCTCAGAACTGTAATAAGGTTTTGTTTTCCAGAATAAGAAGGCTAATGACAGCCCCTCCAAAAAAGTGCTGTTTCTGAGTGGGCTGCATCTGCGAGGTGAGCTTCACCCCAGTGCTGAAAGTATGGAGAAAATAGGAAAGTCCACATTTTTGTCCACATGGCAAAACAAATGGCCTGCTGAGGAACTTCACATTTCAGTTAGGACTATAATATACATAATTGATATAGAAACTCCTTGTTTACATGAAGTTTGAGGAACATTTCCATTCTTTAAAAGACCAAACAAACATAGATTACTGAGGGCCCATGGCTCCCTGATGAAAGTTTTAGTTAGCGAAAAATGGTTGTTTGAATGAAGAAAACTCACTAATTTCTGTTCTAGTGTAATAAAAGCTAATCACGTACTTGTATTCATACACTTGTGTCTTTTTAAACAAAAGCCATCAGTTTGATGCTTGTGTTTTCAGGTCAGATAAAAAGCTAACAAGCGTCTGAGGAATTTACGTGGTTTGCAAATATTGGCTTTTGGATACAAATTATAGTAATTAAATAAAATGCTGTGTGGTTTATTGAATGAGCAATGTAATAACATTCAGGATGTCATCTCAAAGAGTAATCTCTGCACTTGGAAGCTATTTTACTATTTTACATCCTTAATGAAAGTCTTGATTATTTGTGTTGTACTGTCACCAATGTATATTCAAGTTAATTAATTGGGCATATTTTCTTAACTAATCAAACTGTTAACAGCTGTTCAGCATGCTATGCCTGCCATATCTCTTGTAAAGAAAATCTGCAAGTAGAATAATGAAATTCTGAGTGCAGCATCAGATATCACTTGGCTTCCTGGGGTGCTAACGATATTGGATATTAAGGTGTGAGATTGTGTGTGTGTGTGTCTTCTTTCTGGGGGAAGTTCATGAGCTTTCTTTTCAGACATCTTTGTATTTGAATAAAAGAACAGCCTTTCTTGGCTTTATGAAATTAAATGTTATCAGGCTCTTGAAACCTCACATATTTTCTTTGTTTCTTAATCTGTAAAAGGGGAGGGGGAATGCAATCTATTTTAGTTCATAATTCTAAAGGTTAAATAACTAATTCTCCTTCCTAATTCCCTTTCTTCTCTATGCCTTCTGTTCATCTCTCAACACTTTTCCTCCTCTCAGCTCTTACGCATTGCCCTTTACATTTTGTGTCATTTCTCTGTCATGTGGCTGAGCCTGAAAGATCACCACAAAACAAAACACTCTGCCTTTCACCACTGAGCACACAACCAACTACATTTTTCAGGCTCCCTGGAAGTTTGACTGAGTTCTGTCTGGTGGAAGAAGTAAGCACAGTGAGGAATTCTCCTTGCAGGTCTGACCTCAGAAGACTTGATGTCATTCTCTGCTCTCTCTCCCCACTCACCAGCTGAATATATGAGACTCAGAAGACAAGTAGGAAGGTAGATTCAAAGCCATAAGGTGAAAGGAGAACACCTTGAGAATATGTGCATTAAATTGTTATGTAACCGAAAATAAAGCTTTTCTATAAAGCTACTGAGACTCAGGATTTACTATTTTTACATAAACTGGCTTCACTTTAACTCATGCAGAAACGGGCACCTTGAAGAGGAAAGTGGTGCCATTTACCTCATGATCAGGTGGCTGGTGGCCAGAAAACCGCTATGGATGCAGGAAATACGGAGAGCCACCCTATGTGCTGTGGTAAACATTTGGCAAAAATGCCACCTGCATTAATGTTCCGGGAGACCATGTGCCGGGGAAGATGTCAGAAAACAAAATGCCAGTTTTTCGTGGTGATTTTTTCTGGCTCTGCTTAGCAATGCAGAAGGAAAAAGATAACCTCAGGCAAACAATGAGCAATCTGCAAGTTTAAATTTGAAACAAAGAAAGAAACAAAGAATGAAAATAAAGAATCCAGAAATCTGAGATTTTACAGAGTTGAAACCAACTTTTTTTAACCCTCAGATGGTATAAATTAAGGCTAAGAAAGGTTTTTTGAGTAACAAAATCACATTAAGACTTAGAATATAGCAAATTCAGTCTAATGCTTTTCTACCTAAACACATTGTCTCAGATAGCCCTGAGGTAGCAATCATTAACTTGAGAGAGAGGGAAACATGAAAGGAAACTAAAAATGAAAAAGTAATCTGCTGTAAGAATTATGTTTAGAAAAGAATGTGGGTGTAGTTACTGACACAATAGCGTACGGAACACCTTAGAAGCCTGTAAATCAAATATCAAATCAGGCTATATAAGGAATTTTTGAAGAAATTTTAATGCCTAAGAAACCACAAGCCCAGATAAAACAAACCAATGAAATTTGCCTAGTTTGACATTAAAACAACATTCAGGCCCCTCAACTGGTATAAACAGGAAGTGGGTTGTTAAAACTGTAAAACAGTAAAATAAACTGAGTGTAAGGCCATCACTTACCTTAGATTTAGCCATAGAGGAGTGAGCACCAGAAAGGTCCTCTCAGAACCGTGGCTAAGGGGGCGCCTCCCAGAAAGCAGAAGCAGGGTCTAATCAGGGCTGATTAGAAACGACTGTGCAGATGTTGAGAGGCAGGTAGAGCCAAAGGTTGACGTAAGTCTTGAGTCTTGAACTCTTGAAGGTCACATGCTGAATAATTTCAGTAAACATTTTCATAAGCAAGAAATAAAAGGGATACTCAAATTTAGTGTGTCACTTTCCTGGGCCCCTCCCACACAAGTTCTGATCCAGTTAAAAAACTTAGATTGCTCTGCTCTTCCCCCTGAGTTCTGAGTCATGAGTTCTGGGAGGGATCCAATATTTGCATGTGTGATTTGTTCCCAGGTGCTGCTGCTGTTGCTGACCTGGAGATATTCTGAAAACGCTAGTAGGTGTAGGTTTCTCAATGAAACCTGAGATGTCAGACATGTCAGTCACAGTAGCTGGTCTTAGTGTGATCGGTACACAACACATATTTTGTCCTCCTGCAGATCTTTCCTATTTCCCTATTTTTGCCTCTATTACTTTCACCCACTTTCTGCCTCTCATTTCTTTCTCTACCTATCCATTCTCCAACTTTTTATTTGTCTTTTCTCTTTGACCTATTATCCTTTCTTAGAAAGATTCTCAATGGACTGAACTATAGTATATGTCTCAAAGTAAACATTTCCAGGAAGATGGAAGAGTATTTTACCCTTCTTAAAAGAAAATGATCACTGCCTACTTTAACAGTCAGGTACTTTTTTAAAGTGGTGCTTTGTGTACAACTAGTGTTTTGAGATTATTCTTTAACGAATCATCTATAGCTTATTAATCCAACTCTAAGAACTTTCCGTTTTCTTGAGGAAGCTGGAATGAGCTCTCAAATGGAAACTGAATATTAAATAATTTGGCTGGAAAATGACAGTGGCCCTTGTACAATTCTCTGTTCAAAATGGTAGGACTAAGGTAGTTTTACCTATATTAGACCACTTATATTACTTTGAAAAAACTTCCTCTTTGAGGGTCCAGGTAAATACATTTAGCAATCTCTAATATGTGTGAGGCTTTTCTTGTATCCTTCCCAACTCTCTTCTGTTTCAGTAAAAGAACACTTTTTAAAAAAATTTTACTTATTTATTTTTAGAGAGGGAATGGAGGGAGATAGAGATAGAGAAACATCAATGTGCGGTTGCTGGGGGTCATGGCCTGCAACCCAGGTATGTAGCCTGGCTGAGAATCGAACCTACGACACTGGTTCGCAGCCCACGCTCAATCCACTGAGCTACGCCAGCCAGGGCAAAGAACACTTTTTAAAAATTTTATTTTCAGTGACTGTGTAGATCAGGAATGTATACTCTTCAGATGTCTGCTAAATATATAAAATCACCTTCTAAAGAATATTTAAAGTTCTCTTACTCAAAATATAAAAATCTCACAAAGTTCTAGATTATAATAATTGTTTTATATGCTTACAGGGAAATGCAATCAGTTCCGTCCCATGCAGCACGTAATAAGGCATCTATGTGCTTGTTATGCCTTTTCCAAATCATTTGGGACAACCTTTGAGGATCTACTCATCCTGCATGGGGAGCCATCTTGAATATGTTCTGGTAAGTATTGTATGTAAGGGGAAAGGAACATTCTTTCTCCTTACAGATCAGTCAGACGGGGAGTGTTCTTAGAGGAGAATTAATGTCTATCATCTTTTCCGTCGTTGTCATGAAGCTCACAGTAGGGTCATTATCACATTGTACCAACAGATGCCTATAGAAGCTATTCTGATATGCTAAAGCAGGGAGGAAGGCACAGGAGAAGAGGAGGAAGGAGAGTAGACTAGATGTCCAAAGATGGAACGAAGAGGCTGCTAGTTGGAAAAAAGGGAAACAATAAGTCATCCTCCTTAGAATGCCAAGCAGAAATCCTCCTAAAAACCCAGTCACTAGAACATTCTTCACAAATGACACCATCTCCTCAGTTTTGCTTTTCATTTCCATAGATAAGTGGTTGCTCTTATGGACATTCAGCAGTTCCTTGGCTTTCTTCCTGTCCTTCTCTACTCGTTGCTGGTTAACTTTGATGTACCCAGTATGGTTTGCAAGCTGAAGGAGAAAATATCCTCCTCCCAGAGCTGCTGCAGCCAACTTTCCAACCTTCTGGAATATGAAACCCATGCTCCATCCAGTGACCCCTCCAATTAATAGCTGGGTTACCACACTATACTTTTCACCTGAGGGCCCAGACTCCTGGCCAAACAGCTTGCACCACCATGGCTGCTTTTCAGCAAGTTCTGCAAGGTCCAGTGAGTCAAAATTTCTTTGACTGGACGTGGCCATTCCAACGATCTCACCTCACACTGACACCGACACAGGCTCGGCACAGGAGGACAAAGAGTGGCGTGCTGTTCTCGCTGCAACCTCTATTAATTTTTGCAGCTTAAAAAAAAACTATTAAAGGCCAAGGTTATGGATCCAAGCATGATAATTTCACCAAAATTTTAAGGAGTAGGCTCTGAAATGTACTGTCATTGTGGGGGATTGTTTTAACGTATTTTGAATTTTTACCATAATTTCAATCTCATTTTATATTTCTATAACCCAGATGATTTTAAAAACATTTATTATATATTTTGTATGTAAATCACTATATTGTTGTTTTATGTCAATCTACTAGATAATCTATTTTCTACGGGATCAAATTCAATGATTAAGGTCTTCATTTCTCCAAATCTGTTTTCATGTACTGTATAATCATCAAACCTCATATCATGTACTTACTCTAGTCAAGCAACTCAGTCATTTTAAACTCAAATAAGTCTTTCTGTATTCCCTTCCATGTTATGCATCCTTTTTGGAAGGTCAGCTTAATTTTTTTCTTTGAAATTCATGGAAATTTTATTTTAAAAACAAATTTTAGCCTTCTCTAATTAACTGTACTTGTTATCTGTAAGGCAGAACTGGATTAAAACTGGGGATTCTCCCAAGAATTTTCTTAAAAGGTGATAATAACAAATGTGGCAGTTACGATTTATGGGAAAAGGAAGAGAAAGGAACTAACCCACTACACTGAGTTAGATGACAGAAATTTTATCATGTTCACCTTGGTTTCACCAGTACCTGGTATAAAATAGGTGCTTAATAAACATTAAAAATTGTTTCTTCATTTGGCATAAATACACTTAATCTATCCTATAAATTACTTTTTCGTGAATTTCAATTCAACAAATAATTACTCTGTACTTGCTGCATGTTAAAAATACTAACCAGTTGGCATTAAAAAGAGAAAACATATTTCTCAAAAAAAAAAAAGAAAAAGAAAAACATCTAGTCCCTGTACACAAGGAGATTTGAGTTTCCACAGGAGTCTAATCAAGCAAGGTGGCAAGAGCAGTGTTGTTCCATATGGGTTATGAAAAAAGAGGTGTGGGTTTTTATGGGAGCGTTGCAGAGAGATAACCTTCATTTTTAGATTGGAGGCATGGAAGACAATGAGCAATTCACAAATAAAATGAAAGGGATGGTACTTCTAGGGAAGAAACAGCATGTACAAAAGCCTACAGGCAACTGTTGGAAAGAGATGAGACAAGAGCCAGCAGAACAAGTGAGAATACTGTTGGAATGATTATGAACTGGTGGCTGTCGGATGAGAAATTAGAATATTAGAGACGTTATGATTAACTGGATGTGGGAGTGAGGAAAAAGAGTGAGTCAAGGCTTATTTTTAAAATTAGGGTTGGTAAATGGTTGCTTCTTAGAGTATATTTTATTTTCACCAGCTCAGGTGTAAGATCCTGGAGCACAGGAACTATTTCCTTCTCAGTGACTGTATTCTGTACAGAATCACTAGGGCAGATTCTAATGAATGGCTGTGAGCTGGCCACTTCAAATTTAAGAGCAAGGTCATATTTGAAATTCTGCATGTGTTGCCTTCTTTCCTCAGAATTTGTACAACTCATAAGACTATCCTAAAGTAAAACTTTTAAAAATGAACATGAGACAAAAATAGGTTGAGAGAAAGAATCCAGCATATCAGAAGTCAATAGCACCAGCTTTCTTTTCAAACTAACAAAAGAAACTATCAACAAAATGAAAAGGCAATTTCTAAAATGGGAGAAAATATTTGCAAGCCACACATCCAATAGGGGTTAATATTCAAAATATACCAAAAACTCACACAATTCAATAATAAAAAAAACACAAATAACCCATTTTAAAAAAGGACAAAGGATCAAATACATATTTTCCCAAAGAAGACATACAAATGACTGACATGTATATGGAAAGTGTTCAACATCACTGATTATCAGGGAAATGCAAATCAAAACCACAATGAGAAATAACCTCACACCCTTTAAAATGACTTCTTATCAAAAAGATAAGAAATAGTGTTGGCTAGGATGTGATGAAAAGGTAAGCTTTTGCACTGTTCATGGGACTATAAATTGGCATAACCACTATGGAAAACAGTATGGATGTTCCTCAAAAAGTTAAAAAATAAAACTAAAGATTAAATAAAATGCATGCTTAAACTCCCAAATTTGTATCACCTGCTAAATTGCTCCATGAAACTTCTTTTTTTACTTTAGTATTTTTAACTTTAAAAATATAGCACTCAACCACATTTTCCTGCTTTCTGTCTAATACCTTTCTGTGTTTTGCAGTTCTATTTTTTAAAATTACTTTATTGTTGTTCAGTTACAGTTGTCTGCATTTTCCCCCACCACTCCCCCCCACACCCCAGCCAATCCCACCTCCCTCCCTTGCTACCCTCCCCCTTGATTTTGTCCATGTGTCCTTTATAGTAGTTCCTGAAAACCCTTCCCCTCACTGTCCCCTCCCCCATCCCCTCTGGCTATTATTAGATCATTCTTAATTTCAATGTCTCTGGTTATATTTTATTTGCTTGTTTGTTTTGTTGACTATGTTCCAGTTAAAAGTGAGATCGTATGGTATTTATCCCTCACCTTCTGGCTTATTTCACTTAGCATAATGCTCTCCACTTCCATCTATACTATTGGAAAGGGTAGGAGTTCCTTCTTTCTCTCTGCTGTGTAGAATTTCACTGTGTAAATGTACCATAGTTTTTTGATCCACTCATTTACTGATGGGCACTTAGGTTGCTTCCAGCACTTGGCTATTATAAATTGTGCTGCTATGAACACTGGGTGCGTAGATTCTTTTGGATTGGTGTTTCAGGGCTCTTAGGGTATAATCCCAGCAGTGGAATTGCACGGTCAAAAGGCAGTTCCATTTTTAGTTTTATGAAGAAATTCCATACTGTTTTCCACAGTGGCTGCACAAGTCTGCATTCCCACCAACAGTGCACTAGGGTTCCCTTTTCTTTGCATCCTCTCCAACACTTGTTTCTTGATTTGTTTATGATGGTCATTCTGAGCAATGTGAAGTGGTGTCTCACTGAGGTTTTAATTTGCATCTCTCTGATGGCTAGTGATACTGCGCATCTTTTCATATGTCTCTGGGCCCTCTGTGTGTCCTCCTTGGAGAAGTATCTGTTCAAGTCCTTTGCCCATTTTTTAATTGTGTTGTTTGTCTTCTTGGAGTGCAGTCATGTAAGTTCTTTATATATTTTAGAGGTCAAACCATTGTCCAAGACATCATTGGCAAATATGTTTTCCCATATAGTTGGTTCTCTTTTCATTTTAATCCTGTTTTCTTTAGCCGTGCAGATGGACTTTCTAACTTGTATATGAAACTAACCTCAGGACAAAGAAGCAATCTAACACTGTGTGTCTGACAGCTCTATGTCCCACAATTCTTTGTGTCTTTTGTGTCTCCTTTTATGTCAGGCCTCTTCTGACCACATAAAATTGCCGTCTTCCCCTTCCTATTTCCCTCTTTTTCTATATTCTTCTCTTCAGCATTTATTATTAACATAATTTTAATTTATGTATTCAGCATACAAGAATTTCTAACTATTTCACCCACTGATCTGTCCCTAGCACTGAGTGTTTGGCACACTACTTACATGATAAATATATGTTGAATAAAATGCCATATTAGAAGTATTGATGAGGAGCTGGGAGACTTTTTAACACATGAGATTAATTTTTGAAAACAGTAAGAAAGGCTTCAATGGACAAGTTGCATTTGAACTGAGATTAGATGAGGAGTTAGATTATGGGGGTGATCCTGCAGGTGGAGGTAACCGTGTACACAAAGCCAAAAATCCTGGGAAAGAAAAGATGCAACAAGAATACTGTTATTCCATTTGACTGGAGCATAGAAAGCATGAAAAGAAGATTAATTAGTAAGATAACTTAGGGCTTGTAACATAAATAAAACCTATTTGGGTCTTCAGAGTGAGCACTGTATCTCTTTCCTTCCTTGACCCAACAGGGGAATCTTTGCGATGCTGCATTTAAATATGAAGGCTGCACTAGGAAATTAGGTGGAGTTGTAATATCTTCCTCTTCCCTAACCCTGCCGGTGACAGTCTTTCTGCTTAGGAGGCTGGCTGAGGGAAAACTGTATCAACAAACCTCATTTCTTATTGTGGTAGACCATATTTTTTCATGCATATTTAGGGAATATAAATTTCAGTTTCAGAATTTTCAAACTATGAACTATTTCTAAATAAGCCAGAAAATAATTATAAATATATAAAAATAAAAGATTTTACTCCTAAGGTGTTTTACTTATAAATATTCACTAGATTTTCTCTATCACACTTAGGACCTGAATTTGAGTTTGAAAAAAGTAATCAGTCAACTTATATAGTGAAAGTTAAGAGAAAATAACCAAGCAAGGAATTCCTCCCATGGGCAATGATCTCGCTGCTTCCCAATCTGCATCTCTTTATTGCTGGCTGGCAAAATTCCAGCCTTAATTTTCCAGGTCCCCTGAAAGCATTCTCTCCTAACAAGGTTATTTTTCCTTTGTATTTATCTTTCTTAGCTGTTATGAAATCAGGGACTCAACCTTCCACTGCTTTCTGGATTTGACCTCTCTAATCATTTTTTTTAAATCAGAGATAAACCAAGTGAATCATAAAAACATTCATAAAGTCAAAAGCAAACACTGGTAATATGGGCAAATAAAATGGGAATATTAAATGGCAGGTGCTTTAAAATAGCACTTTGGGCTTGTATATGTAATCAGTTGAGGCTCTTTTATTTGAGAATAGTTTGCTTATCAAGAAGTAACTTAGCTGGTAGCCCTGGCTGGTGTGGCTCAGTGGATTGATCACCCTTTGCAAACCAAAGAGTCACTGGTTTGATTCCCAGTCAGGGTACATGCCTGGGTTGCAGGCCAGATTCCCTAGTGCAGGGCACATGAGAGGCAACCACACATTGATGTTTCTCTCCCTCTCTTTGTCCCTCCCTTCCCCTCTTTCTAAAAATAAATAAAATCTTAAGTAACTTAGCTGGTATGTCTTGATGCATCATATACTATAAATCAT